TATTTTTTACATTCTATTTTATCAATCACATGACGATTTAAAATTGTTGAAAACATTTGTTTATATAATTAAACTTTATTTTTTGGTGTTTATGAAGAATGTTTTTTGCAAAAACTGACATGCTGAACCATTAAATTGTTTTACTTTGATAATCTTTTAAGATTGTGTTAATCTCTAGGCTAGATATTATTGGCATACATAAATATCATGTTGCAGTAGAATATTTTATCAATTGTTGCCTCTTGCAATTTTTATTAATTTTATCAAAGTTTAGTAATTATCCTTACCAATGTAAATGGCAAATTGAATATTTTTCCTGTGAATTTTTTACAATATATTTAGAATAAAAGTTAGTGTTTTCCTAAAGTCATTGCTTTTTCCAAGTGTTCCTAAAGGCAACACTGTGACGATGAGTAGTGACTTGTCAATTTATCATGAAGCAAAGCATATCTTGGAAATGATGAGCTCAATAGATTGGAATAATTAGATTGAATAGATTGAATTTATTTCGGAAAATTGTCATTAAACATTAACCAATTAGTTATTGATGAGTATCTATCAATGACTTTAGGAAGACTCTCAATGAATTATATAGTAGTTTATTAATGTTATTCATAAAAATATAAAATGTAATAATAATTTAAAATAAAAAGTTTTTAAATTTTATTTTATTTATNAGTCCAACACCCCCCCCTATAACATGGTAGATACGTTCCGTTCTTTATGAATCGATTTCTTACGAGTCCTTGCCAATCACAGCCCGACACGTGTGAAGTTTACGGACTACAGCTGTTTGAAAGGTTTCCTTCCTTAAAATTAATCGATTCTGGATTAATTCGACTCAACATTTCCAAAATACGTATATTTTTTTTCGGGAATAATCCGTATAGACTACGCTAATTTAATTCTTAATTTAGCATGTATTTTGTGAAAAATAACTTTTCATTCTTCATAAAATGTTAAAAGAATGAAAGTTTCTGTAGAGAAATGTTCATTCTTTTGGCATTACAATTTTAAAAGCTAAAAATAAAATAAAAAATATCTGTGTACATATTATATAAAATCTTTTATTGTATTATGTAAGTCAGTAATTATCAAATCTTTTTGAGTTAGTGGCATACTAACAAGCTAGTATTGCATCTTTAATGTGATACTAGCTTGATGATGCTGTTATAAATATAAATAAAAAGTGAAATTGAAAATCTACATTTATATTAAAAATGCACATCTTCAATTTCACTTTTATGTATATGTAATATATAATTATATATATTTATTATATACTGTATATAAATATGTACTGCACACAAATTATTTTTGAAATTTTGTGGAATTGTTTGAGAACCATTGATCTAAGTATAAAACACAATAGCTTACTTATTTCAGTACAATGGATGGATAATTAATATTAGTCATTAAATTATGTATTTGTTTCAATAGAAACATTTCTATGATGATAAAGATTATGATACAGTTGCTCCAGTACAAGAAAAACTAGATGAACTTAGATATAATGGTTTAAAATATTGGTGAGTAATTTTTCATTTGTGAAAAAATTACATATGCTATTTTATTAAACATAATAGTTTTATTTATCTAAATTATAATTGGAATGGTTACTTTTCCTCATATGATATTTGTGTGGGAATAGGTAAGCATCTAGAAAGGATGGAATTTATAAAGCTTCCGTTAAAGAACTGGCCATCAATTACAGAGAGGCAGATACCTTCTCTTACGCTTGGAGAGATCCTATATGAAATATATTTTGATCTCATTTACAAACCATTGTCCAGCAGGATTATGTCAGTTATTATGTATCTATTCTACCCAATAAAATTTACGTACAGTAGAGCGTCGTTTATCCGAATCAATTGGGGACTGGGGTTGTTCGGATAACCGATTACGTACGAAAAATATATTAACCTATCCCGTGTTGACATTTTTCTCCGTTGCGTGTCGCTTTGCGTTGAATTTTCGTCGATGTTAAGCCTAACATAAACTTTTTAAAATAATAATCGTGGCTATTGTATCGCTAAAAATTATTTTTTTAGTTTGTACAAACAAAATAAATATATTGAAAAATATAAAAACAATAAATAAATTATACTTCAAAAGTTAATTTAGTTCAAAATTAACTTTTGAATCAAAAACGTAAAATTTAAAATTGTTGAAAACATTTGTTTATATAATTAAACTTTATTTTTTGGTGTTTATGAAGAATGTTTTTTGCAAAAACTGACATGCTGAACCATTAAATTGTTTTACTTTGATAATCTTTTAAGATTGTGTTAATCTCTAGGCTAGATATTATTGGCATACATAAATATCATGTTGCAGTAGAATATTTTATCAATTGTTGCCTCTTGCAATTTTTATTAATTTTATCAAATTTTAGTAATTAGCCTTACTAATGTAAATGTCAAATAGAATATTTTTCCTGTGAATTTTTTACAATATATTTAGAATAAAAGTTAGTGTTTTCCTAAAGTCATTGCTTTTTCCAAGTGTTCCTAAAGGCAACACTGTGACGATGAGTAGTGACTTGTCAATTTATCATGAAGCAAAGCATATCTTGGAAATGATGAGCTCAATAGATTGGAATAATTAGATTGAATAGATTGAATTTATTTCGGAAAATTGTCATTAAACATTAACCAATTAGTTATTGATGAGTATCTATCAATGACTTTAGGAAGACTCTCAATGAATTATATAGTAGTTTATTAATGTTATTCATAAAAATATAAAATGTAATAATAATTTAAAATAAAAAGTTTTTAAATTTTATTTTATTTATTATTATACATTATACATTATACTTTAATTAAAAATGATTTAAAATACATTTAGATAAAGTTGCAACTCGGGGTGAAAGATTAGAATCTCTTGTAGACAAAACAGAAAACCTTAGTTCTGTATTTTTTTTTAATTTATCTGTTAATACTTAAATAAGAAAAAATATTTTGAATTATAAGTAGGATGAAATAAATCAGTATACAGTGGAACCTCGGTATACGACCTTAATCCGTTCCTAATGTTTGGACTTTTACCGAATTGGACGTATACCAAACCAACCTTTCCCATAAGAAGTAATGTAAAAATGATTAATCCGTTCTCATGTGAAAAAAATGGCTGGCTTTAACACCTCGCTTTCCTGGCTAATTCCTGCTTGATTTTTCATGAGATCAGCATGTATCTTTTTAGCTTTCTTGCAAATAATTGCTTCTGATAGGATGTCGCCAGCACACTGTTTTTCAGTTATCCAAGCAAAAGCAATTTCTCAACATGATCTAATGTCTTCAATCTCTGTTTAGAACTTGATTTAACCCCTTTCACAACGTTAGCAGATTTAATAATGTCTTTATTTTTCGCGATTGTCGATATCGTCGTTCTCGGAATATGGCATGCAACAGTTAAAATCTGGAACACGCATGCCACCTTCATATTTCTCAACAATCTCTTTTTTCAGTTTCATTGTGATTCTAGTCATTTTTTAGTTTTCTGTTGCTTTTTATTTTCCTTTTCGCAATTCATGATTAATAAAAATAATAAAATTTTACTTACAAATTAAAATCAGAAGAAATTTAACAAAGTTATAAACAGTGGCAGCGCTTACGTTTAGTCTGGTCTAGTACACCGATAGTGCTACTTGTTCATAGAGGGCGCGTATAATTGAATTAAGTCGTATACCGAACAAAATTTGTTTCGTCCAAACAGGACGTATTCCGAATTTGACGTATTCTAAAGCAGACGTATACCGAGGTACCACTGTACTTAGATATAAAGCTAAACTCAATGCACATCATTTCAATATGGCTAATAATTAATTAGCCATATAGTAGTCCATTATTTGATTATAAAATAAATCAAATTGTAGATTTTGAAAAATTTTCAAAATAGAAATGACAAAATTTTTTATTTTTAATTATCGATATTATGGAATTAAATTTACCAGCAGAAAAACCTTTCTTGGTGGTGATATGAAATTTTAAGTTGTGGATTTTCTAATAAAATAATTCAGAAATGTTTTTTTAAACTTCTGCTTTGATGTTTGCAGGAGAACGGTAATATAGAATTCATTTTCAGAATGTTGTAGCTTTAATTTTATCAATTTTGACATACGAATTTCTAGTTTTCATTTTTTAGAATTTTTACAAAATGATGCATAAATAATGTGTAAAAGTAGTTGTTTTTTATGTATGTTATTTTCATTCTATTTAGACAATTTAAAAATTTTAAATATAATTCTATAATAAAATTTATTGTTCTTAACATCTCATTTTTTTATTTTTGTATAAAGTGAAATTTTAGTACTGCAGGGATGTTTTTAATCACTCTATGTATACAAATATTTTTACAGTATTACATTAATAAACTGTTAAAATAAAATGTATTTATTTATTTAAAATAAATCATATTGAAATATTATTATTAAATATTTCAGGCTATAACATTTCGGAAATCTAGCAGAAATTTGGCTCGTTCGATGCTGTTGAAAAATATTAAAATTACAATTATTATAGTTGCTACTATAATTGTAAGTATTAAAGTTTTTTCATTTATATTTCATTATTTACATTTAAAATTCTTTGTTTTAATGTTTATAATTTTATTATTTTTAGATTATACTATACTTTATTGTGAGTGCTGCATGCGGTGGATTAGATTGGAAAAAGTGTGTGCAATGATGGTAAAACAATTGAATATTTTGTAAAGTTTTATATCAAAGAAAATATTATCCTGATATCTTTAGGGAACAAAAAAGAAAAACTTGTATATAATTGTGTCACAGAATTTCTGATTATTAATTATACTATACTTTATTGTGAGTGCTGCATGCAGTGGATTAGATGGGAAAAGGTGTGTGCAATGATGGTAAAATAATTGAATATTTTGTAAAGTTTTATATCAAAAAGAAATATTATCCTGACATTTTTGTTATCTAAAGAAGAAAAAACTTGCACTTCTCATATTTCAATGTGCATTTTGAGTATATTCTCTTAACGGAATACAGTGCCAATTTTGTTCCATTGATAAGTACCTAAAAAAACTTATAGTATTGGAACTATCTTTTTATTTTGGTTTTTTAATGAGTTAGATTCAAATTGTCTTTAATTTGAGAAGAGAACTATTTCCACAAATTATTAACCATTATATATTGCAGTAATGAATATATACATGAATTGTAAATATTTACATATCAGAAATGTTTGATGACAAAGAGTAAATAAATGTAAAAATAAACATATATTTTTATCCAAAGAAGTGAGTTTCAAAAGCGTCTTCTTTTAATTATTTCTGGTTTCCAATTAATGGGATGAGTTTCTTCCGTCTGAAAAGAAAGAACATATCAAATACTTTTTTTGTATTTTTTATATTGATATTGAAATTTTATAATTTCAGTAAATTGTTATGTATTAACAATTATATATTTGATAAGATTAAACATTTCTTAAACTTATAAAAGCATTAATTAGGATAGATTTTTCAATCCATTCACATAGAATAAACATTCATATTGCATAAAATAATTAGATTAATGCTATAGTGAAAACACCATTCAAGCCTATTATTAGGTGATTACATACAGTAGCAGTCACAAATCTCATTTATACATCTATTCCAAATAAGCAATAAATTTGTTTAGGCCTGCTGCATGAAAATTGGATTGGATGATTATGGAGCCATTGATTAATAAATACCTTCAGTTTATCATCAGTATTGAAATGCTTTCCACAAAGTTTGGGGTCTGTTCAAAAAATAACTGAACTTTTTTAATTGGGCAGAAACGGAGTGTTCTAGCATTATGAGGTTTGAAAAATTTTATGAAAATATTTCAACTTTTGAATCAAGCTTATGGAGGCAATGCTCTAGATTGTTTGCAGTATTGTGAATGATTGACAACCACTTTTGAATTGAGTAAATCAGTTGAAGATGACCCTCGACCAGGAAGACCTTTGATCTCAACTGATGACACTCACATTCAGAAAATCTAGGATCTGGTGCATGCAAATCGTTGTCTGACTGTCAGAGAACTTGCAGAAGAGGTTTGACAACCCTATTGCATGAGAATTTGCAATATGATATAAAAGTGTTAGAAGGCCAAACCTTATAGCATCGCCTTTGAAAAAGAAAAATGAAGAGTTTTAGAGGAAAGAAAAGTAAAGAATGATAGGAAAATGTGAAATGGGAACTGTGGCACCATTGAGTTCCATTTATTGAGTATATTTTAATTACAACACATGGGGTGTAGCCCACAGAAAACTGTAGTCAAAATATATAGAGAATAAGTCCCCAATTCCCACACCAGATGTTCTCAAGGTCATCCAGCTGTGTAAACAATGACTCATCAGTGTCAAATTTCACAGAAAGGGGAGACAAAGGAAGTTAAACTTTGAAGCTTTTTCTTCAAAATTAACACATTTCTTTCGTTTTTTTCAGTTTTAAGTATTTTTTATGTTTAATTACATTAAATTAATTAATCAGTGGGCGTTAAGGGGAAAATTTTTTTTTGAATTTTTGGAATGTTTTTTAGGTCCCCAAATTTTTTCAAAATTTTTTGCCCGCGCGAAAAAATTTTATCGCGATTTTAATGAGCCTTTGATAATTGCTTTTTAATGTTTTTTTAACCCCTTAAGGACATTAATGATTATAAAATATCAAAAATCTCAATTTAATTAAACGAAAGAAATGAGTTTATTTTGAAGAAAAAGCTTCAAATTTAATTTTCCTTTGTCTCGTCTTTCTGTGAAATATAACACCGATGAGTCATTGTTTACACAGCTGGATGACCTTGAACACAGCTGGTGTCGTATTTCCCGGGACATTCTCAGACGTCTCGGGAGGAGAAGGGTTTAAAGTAGGGTGACTAGAAATTAAACGTATATTTTTAAAAAATTATAATTTTTATTGCGATTTCCGACCCCCCTAATTAATTAAACATATATATAATAAAATCTATTAATTAAAAAAATTAAAAAACTATCGGAGGTCGTTTTTGACATCAGAAAGCAGCTTTAAATAACTTTACCGAAGGAAAATCGGTGCACTACAACTTTAGAACGATTAATTAATTTTGATAAAAAACTCCCATTAACGGATACCCTGACCATTCTCCATACAAAGACTCCTCTAGCAGTGGATATCACCTATCTCACTAATGGATATTGCCAAATCTCCAAGTGGTCTATTTTTGAACCCTACCAAAGATGAACTTTTACAGTTGGAATGTGACAACCAGATCTTTCAACTATAGGTATTTATCACCAAGTAAACCTCGTGAACTCTCTCTCTTGCGACCACCTACCATGTATAGGTCAGTTATTTTGAAATAGTATGATGTATATCATCTAAGTCTTTTTCCTTTACAAATAAACAATTGTTTAGTTAATCTAGTCTCTGCATGCATCCTTCCTGATTGCTCATTCACGCCATTCATGTAACCTATTTTCTAATCAAACTGCTGTCGTGGCTTCTATGTCAAGCAGGACACGGTGGTGTCAGTCCTGACAGGGTACCAAAGAAGTTCCAACTCTCCGGTCACATATGTAAACTTAGTAACAATATCAAAAATATAATTCATTACATATTCCCAAAATAAATTGTATATGGAAAATACTATTATCAGTCCATAATAATAGATAGTTAAATGGCTGAGGCAGCTAAGGCATCATCCTACTGCTCTGAGGACCTGGAATCAAATCCAAACAAGCTACCTCAAGGCCGAACATTCTCAGATAAACTGCCATAAGTAATTCCTATCAGCGGAATAGCGTGGGTGTCAGCCGCCGGGGGTGGAGGAAAATTTCGCCGTCCCATTATTCAGGTAGGTCAATCAAAAAGACTAAAATTCAATTTCGTGACAGAATAAGTAATGAAAAATTCCGTGTTAGTGTAGCCACCTGTTTAAAATAGCTCCATTGGATATTGGAGGTGCATATGAATATGAATGAATCGTACAAGAAAAAGAAGAAAAAAAAAAAGGGTCGATAGGTTGCGCAGGGTATCTCTGGGTGAAATTAATAGTTCATCCAGACAGTGAATCAATTCCCAGACTGTCCAGATGGTAACACTACCGTAGGTGCAATGAAAATATAGAATAAAATGGTTCAAATTTTTACAAGATATTATTATTTATTGTGAAATTTTGCTGCCCCTCTAAAAAGTGCCCCCCACTACACTATGCCACTGATTCCTATCTTTTACCATCCAAATCCACAATAAGGTATGATTAAATATGCCCTCTTAGTGACCACAACAGTCAAATATTTTTCATAGTCCACCAATATGTGATATAAATGTTTCTAGTACAGTTGTAAGTCTTTTGCCAAGATGAAAGTATAGGAAATCTCTAGTTTGGATATTCTTCAAAATTAATTAATCTTTTTAGATTTAGTCAGAAAACATTGCAATTTAATTGTTATTATTATTATTTCAACATTAAAATCACTAAGTTTTCAAAACCTTCTAAACTAAAAAGTTATTGACATGGTTTCACAACAAATACAAATAAAAAGTCATATTTTTAAAAATTTAAATACAGTAGAATCTGCTTGTTGTAATTACTTTGGGACTCCTTTATTGATAACATTAAGTGGGATATGTAAAAAATTACAATTATTGGAAATTTTGATTTTATTGACCTTGACATTAAAGATATGCTAAAACAAATAAAAACGAATAACTTCATTTATTAACAGTAATTCATTCAGTGTTATTTTGTCTTTTTTTGTGGTTCCATCTTTTACAACTAGCATATAATTGAAGTAAGAAATTCCAGCAATTTAATTAATGTACTACAAGTAAATAACGATTAACACAATTACATTTAATTTTCAATGTACTGGTTAAGGCTGATAACATTTGCATATTATATGAAGATAATAAATAGAACAAACTCATAAAACTTAAATTAAAATACTTTGCTTATTGTATTTAAAAGAATATGTATTTTGGGAAATGATAATTATGAGCAGATTCTATTGTAAATATTTATATAAAAGTATAACTTACTGCAGTCTCATCTTCTTTAAATATTTTGACAGTTTTATCTGCTTCAGCTGTCAATAATCTACTACCACTTTGATCAAACATACAGGCAAATATTCCTGCTTCACTGTCAATAGAACCTGGTTGAACAGGTGCTTGTAATCTTTGGAAATTATAACCTGTTCTCCAATCCCAAAAGAAAAGCGTTCCATTATCTCCTACAAAATTTTAAATAGAAGGATAAATGTATTCATTTTCAAACTGTAAAATAATAATTAGCAAAATTTTATTTAAAAAATTTACCTCCAGATACTAAGACATTGTCAGCATTTATTCCTAAACAGTTTACGATAGCTGTGTGCCCTTGAAGATTCTGAATGTATTTACCATCAGGGCATTTCCATTGTTTGATATTATCTGGTGCTCCAGATGCAAACATATAACTGTAAACACACAAAATTAGATTATATTCAGGGTCAAATTAAACTTTACAAAAATTTAATATACTTCATTCTATGTAGTATATAGCAGTTAGAGAATTGTTTAAATAATTGGAATTAAGTCTCTAAATCTAGCCATTATAATTTTCAGAAACTGAAAAACTAAAAATTTCTTTTAAATCTTCAAAACTGATTCATAATTAAAAATAAAAATTTTGAATTTGTAAAATGTTGATTAACAAAGAAGATAACCAAACTATAATTGCAATAAAATTATAAAAATTAGTTAATGATTTTTTTAAACCTTTCATAGAAAATTTTGAGATTCTCTCTTTTAATAAATACAGAAATTTAGTAAATTATCTATTTCCTGCCATTCCTCCATAATTATTTATTTTTCATATGTTTTGACATTAAGTGTGTATTATGATGAATACATTTTATGTTTATTTTTCTCTTGTTTGATTTAATAATGAAAAAATGTTAATACATAATGACCATTAAATTCAAAATATTTTATATCTATATTTATTTCAGTCATTAATTTTACTAAAAACACTTCATTATTTTTAATAGAATTATTTATATTCTATATTTTTTATAAAATTTTGTTGTAGAAACATTTCAGAATCCATTGAATTAATGAGATCAGTTCCTTAGTTTTACAGTTCATAAAAATTATATTTCATATTAGATAAACAGATTTATAAAAATTTAAAAATTCATTGAGCTAATCAATAAGTTTAACTTTGCAAGTACTTACAGTCTAGGATGTATCAAAAGTGCTCTGACACTTTTTTTATGTTGTGTCAATGTAACTCTAGATTTTCCAGCAACTAAATCCCATAACCTGATGGTACAGTCATGACTGCCTGTCATTACCTGAATAAATTTAAAATAATAATGAATATTTGCATTTTTGATATTAGAAAAAATTATACACTTTTATTATTTAATAAAATTTTTTGCATAATTAAAAATATTGAAGAAAATATAACACAATTTATCCAGAAAGTTCACTATATGAATTATGTTATCTACTGTGTAATACATGAAATACTTACTGTGATGTCTTAGTAAGCAACTGTTATTTTCCTCCTCAGTTCCGATTCATTTGTATTGAATAATATACTTTGTGAATTTTTGATCTCATCACTTTGTGAGAGATGGAATATCAAAGCTAAAGGATGACCATTTATCCCAGCCACTGAAGAGTGGCCAAAGGAGTAAATGCCCTTCTATAACCAACACCAACAAAATTTTGCGTCTAAAGAACAAACTTCAATCATCTGTTCAAGGAGATAATGGATCATCTACTCAAAAATATCTGATGTGCTCCACTTTGTTTGCACTGAAGTGAAGAATGGTTTATTGACTCTTCATACAAGAGCAGCAGCATATTATGCTATTGTCATATGAAGATATGCTAATGCACACTTTAATAATTATAACCTGATTTCTGGGAAAATACTAGGTGATAACAATTCTGCATCTTTCATTTACCAGACCTAGCTCTGCTAGAATTGTTTCCAAAATTCAAGATTCCCATGAAGAGGACATATAGGTCAAGCCACAAAATTTAGAAGATATTGAGACGGTTTTCTGGTGGTTGGTCAAAAAAGGATTTCACAAAAGTATTCCAGGAACTTCTGGAATGATGCAAGTTATGTATTGAACAAAGAAATATGTTGAAAAGTCAATCCATAAAATATTCATTTTTTATTGAATCACTCTGAAAACTTTCTGGACATACCAAGTATGTATTTAGCTATTCAGACAGAATAATTCTGTATGCTTTTGCTTTCTGCACACACAAATTTATAATTTTATCTAAAAATATTTATTATAATCCTTTTAGAAATATTTCAAATATGTAGTACTTCAATTTGGAAAAATCTATATTAAACTATTAAAATATATTAAATTATAATTTATCTGATTTCTCCAGAAAACTCATAATTACAATTGCTTAGTATACAGGGGGTGCAAAAGTAGATACAATGGTACCTCAGGATACGAACGCCCCAGCATACGAAATTTTCAGGATACGACATGAAATTCAAACATATTTTTGCTCCATGATACGAACAAAAACTCACCATACGATGTTACATTAGTTCGCAGCGCCATTTTTTATTTACTTCTGTTCATTGGTCTCAGTCCGCGTGTTTGCTTTGTTGTGGAAGAATCTCGCTCAATAAAGGAAATCTTGAGGTATTATCAGAAAGTGACTGATTTTATTGAAAAGAAACATCCCAAAAAGGTTCACACTAGATGTATTGCTGCTCAGTTTAATGACATTTGCCTTAGTCATTTTAGAAACATTTTAAAAAGTAGGCAAAGCCAAACCTCTTTGGATAGATATTTTACCAAGTGACCTCCATCCAGTGAAAGTGCTGGTGGAAGTNTACTCTAATCCTGTGGATAATATTTGACATCCAGAGCTGTTTTTAAGCCATCAACATTGTTACAGAAATTCAATGTGTTGTTAGTTGCTAGATAACAAAAAACTTTTTTCTCTATTTAAGTCTAAATTCAGTAATGTTTGTACTTGGGTGGAGAAGATTGTATTCCTGTAACCTGGAACCCAACAGATTAGCCTTTTGCTTACTTAACTCCAAGTTATGGACTAAATCATTTAGATCTGCTTGAGTTAAGAAATGTCTGACTAGATCACTAGTACCCTGATACAAAGAGTAATGAAGAATTGTCATCATCTGAAAAAAATAACTATTTTCTTCACTTTTACTGTCAGTTTCATTTATAGATCCTGAAAGTACTAGAAGTCTTTCTGAGTGTGGCATTGGTCTTATTGCAGAAAGTAAGTCTGGGTAAACTATGTGTGTCATAGATTTTCTGTATGTAGTTCCTATGTATTTGTTAGGCAAAAATAACAATCAGTGAGATAGTCTTTTTTCTTTCTCCATATCATCAGTACATCAAACAGAGTTTTTATCACTTTAACTTAATTTGACTTGCAAGTTAACATCATTCTGTCAATTAACACAACTGTAAACATCTAAAACAGGGGATAAGAAGTTGATGTTGCCACCTACTCTACCAAAAATTTCCCACAATTGTCACAAACTGTGAATTTGAATAAAAAATGAATTTTATATACTTATAACTAAAAGACTGTACTTGATACGGAAATTCTGATTCAAGATTTGAATTCCTCTCAACAAAATGCCTCATAAACACTTATTTTCATCTAAGAAAAAAATCTTTGTGGAACAGTGTTGTTAAAGCAGACTTCATTTCATAAAATTTAACTAATCTAATTTAACTAAAAAAAAATAGGTATTTTTTTAAAGTTAAGATTAGTTAAATTTTATGAAATGAAGTCTGCTTTAACAACACTGTTCCACAAAGATTTTTTTCTTAGATGAAAATAAGTGTTTATGAGGCATTTTGTTGAGAGGAATTCAAATCTTGAATCAGAATTTCCGTATCAAGTACAGTCTTTTAGTTATAAGTATATAAAATTCATTTTTTATTCAAATTCACAGTTTGTGACAATTGTGGGAAATTTTTGGTAGAGTAGGTGGCAACATCAACTTCTTATCCCCTGTTTTAGATGTTTACAGTTGTGTTAATTGACAGAATGATGTTAACTTGCAAGTCAAATTAAGTTAAAGTGATAAAAACTCTGTTTGATGTACTGATGATATGGAGAAAGAAAAAAGACTATCTCACTGATTGTTATTTTTGCCTAACAAATACATAGGAACTACATACAGAAAATCTATGACACACATAGTTTACCCAGACTTACTTTCTGCAATAAGACCAATGCCACACTCAGAAAGACTTCTAGTACTTTCAGGATCTATAAATGAAACTGACAGTAAAAGTGAAGAAAATAGTTATTTTTTTCAGATGATGACAATTCTTCATTACTCTTTGTATCAGGGTACTAGTGATCTAGTCAGACATTTCTTAACTCAAGCAGATCTAAATGATTTAGTCCATAACTTGGAGTTAAGTAAGCAAAAGGCTAATCTGTTGGGTTCCAGGTTACAGGAATACAATCTTCTCCACCCAAGTACAAACATTACTGAATTTAGACTTAAATAGAGAAAAAAGTTTTTTGTTATCTAGCAACTAACAACACATTGAATTTCTGTAACAATGTTGATGGCTTAAAAACAGCTCTGGATGTCAAATATTATCCACAGGATTAGAGTAATAGTATGAAGGAAAGTGGATGCCTTCCATGTTAAGCTGATTATTGTTGGATTATCATGAGAGACAAGAAAGACAGTCATCAGAAAAAAAATCATTTTGTTTATATGAAAGATTTTATTTTAATTCTTTCACAGAATAAGTATTATATAATAATATTTTTGTGAATATTATTTCACATACCTCATTTATGAATTTTTATTATTATATACTAGGAATAAAGTAAGACTTACATTGAGTAAACTCATGTAATAACTTAAATCAATCTTTATAATTCCAATTATTCAAACATTCTTAATATTTTAAATTTTCCTAACTAAAAAAAAATCTAAATATAGATGAGAAATTGGCATAAAAATTGCAATATGTATCATACACACAGTTTTTTTTTTGTTTTTCTGCAATAGAACAGTGTAAGGCAGAGATTCCACTACCATAAAAATGGCATAAAACCCCTCGCCATAAAAGCTTTTAATCACGTGACCCTGATATTTTATGCCTGATCAGGTCGTAAAACCAGCGCAAAAGCGAGTTGAGCAGTGTTCAACTTTCGATGTGAATACGGCTGTAAAGCAGTACCTTCCACCAATCAGAAGTCAGTGAAATCTAGGTCATTGTGACATGGTGCTAAAATGGTGAAAAAATGAGCTTTTGTGTATGTTCCCTCATGGCTACTCTAGAATAGATCCAAAAAGATTTATCAAAAACATCTGAAAGTATTCGTGTATCTATGACAAGAGGTAACCCAATTATAATAATGGATGCCAAAGGAAAGTCCTTCAATTTAGAGGAGTATATAATAAAAAAGCTAAGCTTACAAGTGCTGTATATTATCTTAATAATATGATAATAAAAGTTAATATATGAAAGAAAAAATATTATTTTTACTATATTTGTAATTATAGTAGACTACAGAAAAAACTCGTAGAATAGAATCATTGTCTTTATATCGATGTATCATGTATACAACCGTCTTCCATTTCTACTAATTCACATGCGAAGAAGTATTTACTTTTGACACTTGGGGCATCACCGTCGCCATAAAAACTTCATTACCGAACCTCCACCGCAATCCAGATGCAAACACAAATATGTCACACGATTAAAAGCTTTTAAGGCAAGGGGTGTTACGCCATTTTTACAGTAGTGGAGTCTCGGCGTAATATAGTTCATAAATTATGTGATGACAAGAGCATAACTTGTTTAAAATTTAAAAAAAATTGGAATAAGGATGTTAGTTAATGCTTGATAAAATTTATTTATTTATTACATTTCATTTTCAGTGAATTCAGTTAAAGTTTTATCAGTTCAAAAAATATCAACATGAATGTTCAAAAAATATCAACAGTTTAAATGAAATGGCTAACTTCTTGTTAGCCATTTCATTTAAACTGTGTTTGAAGCTTACAGAAATGATAAAAATTAAATATCCCTGTTCTATTTTTTAATAATACAGTAGAACCTCGATTATCCGGACCTCTATTATCCGGATTTTCGATTATCCGGATTGTTCAAAATAAACAAAAATTTTACGAATTTGCTGATTTGCACTTATCGAATTACGATACTGTTTATGTACTTTTTTTGTTTCAGCAACGTCTCACCCAGCACAGTGGTCTTAAACTCTTAAATATATTTTGTGTCGTAATAAAAATATAACTTGACATACGTATTTATAAATAATTTATTTTCAAATTACATCATTTCTATGACCAAGGGCGGCGTAAGGCATGGGCAACGTGGGCCACCGGCTATGCCTCGCGGTCCGAAGGGCCTCGCGCCTCGAAGGTTTATGCATTACTTAAAAGCCGCGAACGCGACGAAAAAATTTTACTCGTCATAAAACGATAAATAGTTTGTCAAATTTTTATTCATAAAAATGCAGTTTCAACTGCTTTTTATTTTATAAAATCCGTCTTCTTGCGCCACCAGAGGGCCTTTTAAACAATAGGTAGTCTGTTAGCGTTGGTCAGTAGTAGTCCAAATTCAATACGAACGTTTGTTTCTTGAAAATTTGATCACGATTTAAATACAGTATTTACTTTTAATATTACCGATATGTCATCGAAAAGAAAACGTGTTGTATTATCATTAAAAGACAAATTAAAGTATTTTTTCGATTATCCGGATTTTTCCTTATCCGGACTACCTTTATCCCCAATTAGTCCGGATAATCGAGGTTCTACTGTACTTAATATCAAGTTAACATTTCTTTGATCTAAAATACCAAAATGTCTATTCAAAGATGACTTAAACACACAAATACAATAAATACAATATTAATTACTTTATCAATATGTTCAAAAAATATACAGAAAAGAAATTTCTTTTTCTACATATAGTAATATAGATTTTTGCTAATTGATGTTATTATTTTTTAGAATTAATAAAAGATTGACACCAAAAGATAATAAATACAAACATTTATTTTGGTTTTCATTTCTCAAAAGTTAATTTAATGCATACTTAAATCTACAATTTTTTGCAAGCTAAACAGTAACATTACTTACACAGACCTATAACTTGTTCAATAAAATATGAGCTGCTTAATATGGTAAATCCTAATGGACTGTAATTGTCAGGCCATGAAATAGTATGCTGAAATTCTGCTTTGTTCATTCAATTATTGTTTAGAAAACACTATATAAAGTTTAGCAAAACTGCAAAAAGTAATGCCATTATGTGTAAATAAAGGAAAATATTGCATGGTCAAACTAAACTGAAGCTCTAGTTTTAAATGTGCATAATTATTTTAGTCATTAAAATTTGCTTTATAGCATTATTATTAGCACGACAAATATTGCATCATGTGTCTTAACCATCAACAAGACTAACTAGCCACTCATTGAAAATAAATATGAAAAGTTCATCTTTCCTTGAATAGACTATAGTAATGTATCTAGTAATGTAGACTGCTACATTATAAATTAACATAAATTTAAAATTACGTAATGATAACAGATTTAGCTTGCAGGGATTGCAAATTTAAATTTCTTTGCAGTGATATAACTTTAAATTATTAATACTAATAGTATAAAATTACTTCTGTAAAAGTTCGTCCGATGGATAATTATTTCTAATAAAATAAAATTGAAGACAAAACTGGAAGGTCAGTTGCTGAAAATGTTTTAGTCTTGGAACACAAGTAATAAATGGTGATCCTTTTTTGGACAGTTTTGTCTTCAATTTTATTTTATTAAGTATAAAATTACTTGTTTCTTAAAGTTATTATGAAATGGCAACTTCACCTGGTTCTAATAACAAATTCATTCAATCATTAAATCTCAACATTTAGACAATCATATAAAAATAGTCCAGATAATTGATAATCTGATTTGCAATTTAATTGATCATTGTTTAAATTACATTAAAAATTTTTATGTAATTATCTCTTAATTTATAATTTAACATTAGTTATTTTAGCAATTAAAAAGTTAAATTTTTTGGAATTTACTGACAATTTTATATACTTTATTTAAATTATTTACCTGTGGTTCAACTGCTTGACACTGTACACTTGCTACAGTATTTGTGTGACCTGATAAAGTATGAATATTGGCTTTTGTTCTCATATCCCAAACCTATGAGGAAATAAAATTTTGTATTTTTTGATTATAAATGATAAATATATAAAAAGTAATAAATTATTTTCAACTGAAGTAGTCTTCTAACCTAATCTAATCAATTATTACAGAAATGAAATGTATTTTCAGAAATAAAAAGTTCAATTTAAGTAAAACATATATTGTAATTTTAAACTTTTCAAATCTATATATTACTCTTTTGTTGTATCATTCTTTATAACATTAAATGTAGCAAAATAAAATAATAAAATACAGTAGAGCGCCGATTATCCGAAAGTCAATCATCCGAAAGAATTCCAGTCGACAAATTTAAATTTTCGCCAGTGCTGTGGTGTTGGGCTACTCAAATATTTTACGTTTTTGATACTAAATTAACTTCTGAAGTATAATTTTTTATTGTTTTATATATTTTTCAATATATTTATTTTGTTTGTATAAAATAAAAAAATAATTTTTAACGATACAATAGTCTTCGTTAGGCTTAACATCAATAAAAATTCAACGTGAAGCGACACGCAATGGAGAAAAATGTCAAGATGAGATAAATTAATATATTTTTTCATACATAATCGGTTATCCGAAACATCGATCTTCCGAACAACCCCAGTCCCCAACTGATTTGGATAATCGACGCTCTACTGTATATCCATATATATTTAACATATGAGAATGTGTTACATATTCAGACTATGGAATAGGTAAACTAAAGAAATATAAACATTGAATATGTTCAAACAAAAGACCATTTTCAAATTTAGAATATATATGCAATATTTTTTTAATAATAGAAATTATTTCAGATACAAAAAAGAATGGTCAATTCCAGTCAAGTATTCTAACAGTTTTGTTCAGTTCATTTTTTATAATAAAGTTTATCATCTGTTGTTTCCTCCAATATATTAACAAGCAATTAAGACATTTACAATTCTTAATTGCTTAATTATTTGCTTAATTCAAAGACTGAAACTAAGGTTCTATTAAAATCACTAATCATTGTTGGGCAATTTCACATTAGCAGAAATAATATAAAATTTAAGTAAACTTTTTATTCTTTATGAATACAGAAATAGCAATAAAAAAATTCATGTCTGTATTAATGGCTTCCATATTTTGCAATTCACCACATACTATCTATCAAGTCAGTCCATAAGTTCATGCGTATTTTTATCTACAAAAAAAAAAAACAACTAAAAGTTTTAATTAAATTTTATTTCAATCTATAATGTATTCACCATTATTTTGTACAATTTCTTGTCATCTTGATGGTAGCTTTTTAATCCCGTCTTTGTAAAATGACTTTGGTTTTGAATCAAAATATTCAGAAATAG